AAAAAAAAAAAAAAAAAATACCACGTGCTTATGCTAAAATCTCGAAGGGATGCATCTCTCCCTGTCCCAAGCACCATGAAGTGGCATTTTTTTTGGGGGGGGAGGGGTAATACATCCTGCCTGGTGGATACAGAAATACCTCTTGTCATGACTAAGGGAAGGGTGGCCAAGGTAGAGAGTTACACTGTGTAAATAAACAATGCAGCCAAGTGGAAAAGCTCCCTCTGTCTTAATGAGTACCGCTAACCCTGAGCTTTCCTTCTGTGGTTTCCAAAAAAAGGGTTTTCCTCAGTGGAACTCCTGAGGAGGACACTTAAATTAGGGGCTCCGGTTTCAACATCATGATCTTGTAAATATGGGTGAATTGGTTGTATCTGGTGATTCAACGCTGCTGAGGCAGCCCTACAGGTTAGGTTTGGGATTTTTTTTTTTTTTTAATAGAGAATTCAGATGAACTTCACCTAAGTACAGAATCATTTTGACAACTGGGACGGAAACAACTTGTCAAAAGCTGTTATCCAGGCTGCGCCTTTAAGAAGAATGGATGTTGGCAAATGCATTGCCCAGGCTTTGCTTTTCCCAGTGGCCACCACCATTTCCACCCAAAGCTTGCATGTTAAACTTGACTCTGAACTGACCCTGGACGAACACTCTGAGGGTCTATAATAACCCAATATTTTGCATTCTGCATGCCCAGGGCCTCAAAAAAGACAAACCCATGGGTTTTGCATCCAAGGACTCAACATGGGTTGAAAAAAATTAAAGGGTAGCTTAAAACAAGTCAGAGTCAAAGACTACCATAGATTCTAGGTCTTCAGGGCAGGAAGAGATGCGAGGTCATTGGAATCTAGTTCATCTACATTGCTTACCTGTAGAGGACACTGACCGTCCAGGAGCAAAGCAATTCACCCAAAACCACAGAGCCATTCAACTGGCCTCACCAGTTAGATCCCCCACACAGTAAACTAATGTCCCTTCCCATCAGATAAATTCACATGACCATAAAACTGAAACAGACACGTATTTCCCTATTCTGGAAGAATCTGTAGAGGCTGCTAAGTAACTGGGTTGAAAAGTCAGGCTTTAGTTTATTGCTTTGTTGAGGCTGACAGTCTGTTGGGCCAGGTGGCCTGCTGAGTTGAATGGAAGAAAGGCCAGTCCAGGAAAGCATTTATTCTGCAAGCAGGGACTTCCTCATTTGATGACTTGTTTTTCTAAGAAAAGAGCAGTGCATTGCTGAGGAGCACCCCAAGACTCATAATTTGCTTAGTAAGCTTTTATTGAGCACCTGCCATGTGCACTGCCAAGCACTTGGTCTGGAAAGAGCTGCTAATACCCGTAGGTGCCCGCCCTGTGTGATTGTACATGCAAAGTAAGTTATTATCTGGCACAGTTTAGAAACCAGGTTATCCTATCAGTCTATACATCTTCAAGCTAAATTTAATAGGAGACAGCATGCTTTAGGGTGATGAAGTCATAAACTTGAAAGTAGGACTGGGTTCTGGAGCGCCATCTTTCCTCCGTGGCATCCCCGTAATAACAAGAAGGTTTCAGTCCTCCAAAAACCTAAGAATGCAGGTGAAAGTTACATTTGGACCTGGCTTCAGGAGAGTAGCCCAGATGTAAAGCCAAGTTTTAAAAAGCAGACAAAGGAATTGAACACCCTAAAGGGACTCAGAAAGTACCCAGAAGGGGAGCAATCAAAAGGCTGCCATCTTCTAACGAGGGGATCAGATCTCACCAAGGCCCAGCTATGTTTCACGAACATTTCCAAGAACCATCTAGCATGTGCCCCTTCTTTCTAGCTCCCTCATTTCCTTGGGCCACCAGCTTTGGCCTGAGGAATCAGGTGAGTAATGAAACTCAGTGCTGAATACAAAAAGATCAGCTGTGAAAGCTGGATGGAGCCTTAAAGGTTCTCAGGAAATCTCTGACTAACAAGGACCTCAGGCCCAAAGAGGTGTAGTGACTTTCACAAGGTCACACAGTGAACTGGTGAATCAGGTCACAGACCTCTCCCTTTACACACCGAAGTCAAGGGAGCTTTTATTTTTTGGGGGGGAAAAAAGTTTCCTTACAATTTTTATGTAAAACACCCCTCTCCCTGGCCTTTAAAATGCTGTCCTGGAGGCTGATTCTGCAGGGCCCAGGAGGCAGGAGATTTGACTCTGGACCATTTGGGTCAAGTCCCTTCACCTCTCTGAGGCTCCGTTCTCCAATTTTGCAAAATGAGCAGCATTGTACACAGAGGGGATGGACAAGATGAGGTCCTTCCCTTTCCGCTTTAACATTCCGTAATTCCAACTCCATTCTGGGGCTGCAGGTTGATCCTAATCCCACCAGTTATGCCCACACAAACCACTGATCACGACAGACAAAGAAAGAGGGATTCGCACCCATCGCCAGAGCTGAGAACGCTGGCCTGAGGCAGAGCCTTCTGTGATGGGTCAGCTCGTGTACAGAAAGTGCGCAGTCCTGGTTGGGTAAATGCACTCCAACCGCAAGAGCCTGTCTTCATCATGCGGTCATTTTAGGCCAAAGAGAGATCCGGTTCATTTCTGGGCCCTCATCTCCTTTATCCCAGTATGGTTTTTTAATCCCAGTATGTTCATATTCAGGTTGGCGCTGAGCCCTCTATTCAGACTCTAAGATCTGATGTGCACCCTCCTAGCTTAGGACGATTGTGGTAACCTGGCCTTGGACGGTTCTTGTCCGAATGTGCTGAACTCGGGGAGGACATTGCCAGATGGTTTTAAATATGCTTTTCAAACTTGAGGCTCTTATTATCATCATCAACAAACATTTAAGTACATGGAGGCAGAGACATCTCTCTGCCTTTTCACTATAGTGTTCCCGAGGCCTGGCATGGAGCCTGGCACTTAGTAGGTACTTTTTTGAAAAAAATAATAAAAGTTATCTGCAGGGTACTTGGAAATGGGGGAGGACAGGACATTCAAGGGATGTAGAACCCAGATTTTGTTTTCTGTGAGCTTAAAATTTAATAGACCAAATAACATAGACTCATTCAAGTAAATAATACCCAGTTATCAAGAGACCTGTCACATGGAGAAAGCCCCTTAGGTTGAGTCAGTCAGAGGGAGCATCACAGAAGATGGATTTTCATGGCACCGGGCCTTGAAGGTGCCAGAGGGGGCACCCAGCTTGGGGAAGGGCGGGGCCACAGGCAAGGTGGTCAGAGCCTGGAGGGCAAGGAGGCATCCATTTGGGCCACGGCAGGTGGGTCAAGTCAGAACAGACAGAAATAAGGCTCCAAAGACAGGTTGGGGTTCAATTCTGAAGGACACAGGAAGTCAGGCTAATGGTGGATTTTATCGTTCAGAATGAGGAAAACCATTGCAAAACCCTGAGGAAAAAAAAAGTCGAGCCAATGCAGCGTTTCGGAAAGACTGATCATACGGAACCCGAGGAATCAGAAGGGGACTAGTAAGGGAGCGGTGGCGGGGAGGGGAAACGGAGGGGGAAGGCTGCGGGCGCCCCGCCCCCTCCCAGGGCAACCGCAGGAGGCGGGGAGGGGTGACTTCCCAATCTCCAAGCCAGCGCAGTTGTCGCTCCTGCTCCGGCTGGTGGGC